ATTTTCATTGGGGATAGGTCATCCATCTCTACTACACGCACGGCGTCTACGAGGCCGCGTTCGTCGACCGCAACTGCGACGCGCTCGGAAAGATCCACGTGTTTGAGAACATGCTCAGCGACCACCTCGGCCGCAACTACCTCGCCGCCCTCCGCATCGTGCGCGACGCTCGCAAAGCGTCGAGTGCGCCGCCCCCTTGGGTGTGCTTCAACACGCACACGCGCTGCATGTGCTGCGAAGCGCCGTTTACGTGGAACTCGACGTCGCAGAGCGAAGCGCAAGCGAACCGCGACCAGCACAACTGCCGGAGCTGCGGCTGGCTCGTCTGCGACGGCTGCTCGGAGAAGCGCAAGCCGTTGCCCGAGTACGGCATCAACACGCCCGTGCGTGTCTGCGACAAGTGCTTTTATAAAGCGTAACACGACGTGCTGCCTTTCTTCAGGTCGTTTGGCGGGCGCCGTTTCGACTCGAAACTGGTGTCATCAAGACCGAGAGACCAGCAAGTACATGGAGCCAGAGGTTGCAAAGCTGTCACCGCTGCGACGGCTCTCAGCGTCGGCCAAAGCCACCGCGGAGACGATGGCGACCTCGTCGGCGGCCGCGGCCAAGTCGGCGATGCAGTCCGTCACAGAGGCGTCCGGGTTCCTCGCCGAGGCTGCACAGGCCGTGGCGGCGGCCACGTTTTTGTCCGACACGCAGCGCAGCAGAGTGCACCCGATGGCAACAGCAGTCAACGCAACCGCCTTTCCGGATCTCCCACCGTCGATGCGATGCCTCGTCGCGTCGTCCAAAGAGGATGACGCAGCGTTCGTCATGACGCCACCGGCACATGTCCCCAGCGACGTCTGCGGCGCCTGCCACGCATCGTTCGGCGTCACTCGATTTACGTATCACTGCGGTCTCTGCGGCCACGCGTTCTGCCGCGCCGACCTTCCCGTCAAAGCGCACTTACATCGCTTCGGCGCCGGCGTCAAGCGCGCCAAGCTCTGTGCCCGCTGCGCCAACGAGCATCATGACCGCTGCAAGGCCCAAGACCTGGCGTGGCGCATCGAGCGCATTTCGGTTTTATCTCGACGCTCCCCACGATTGATCGCCTCACACGCAGTGCGATAGAACTATGTGGCGGGCACTTTGCGGCCCTTCACCGACAATAACCCGCTCGACTCGCGCCGGCACAAGGCCCAGCGCGTCGCCTCAGGTGTCGTCGCGGTGGCCAAAGCAGTGCCCGCCGCCGTCATCGCGTCGAGTCCTGTCGCGTCGGCCACATATACGATTGTGGGCGCCGACCTGATTCGGCGCGTCGGAGGCGCCGGCTTGCTCGGCTACGTCCTCCGGCAGGATTTTGCAGCGACGTTTGCGACGCTGCAGTCGGTGCTCGGATCGCTTGAGACGCTCTCGTCCAAAGACGCGGCGGGCGCCGTCTACTACACCATGGCGGCCAACCGCGGACGGCGCGGCCGGGACCCGCTCGCCGAAGCCGACGACCACGCCGAGTGCCAGCGCATCTCGGACGACGAGCTCACAACGCTGCTGCGCGACGCACCGCTGGCGCTTCAAGCCATCTACGACGAAGACGTACTGAGTTTGCAACGGGTGGCCAAGCTCCATGGGCTCGCGCTCCTCTTCCACGCGATCGAGGCGTCGGCGGTGCACGCACCCGGCTACGCGCTGCTCGCCGACTTGACCGACAAGCGCGTCCTCCTCCTCGTGCGCGGGTCGCAGTCGGTGCAAGATCTTCTCACGGACCTCGACCTCGGCGCCGTGTCGGCGGCGGCACCTATGCACCAAGGCATTGCCAAGGCGGCAACGTGGCTCTATGGCCAAACTCTTGGCGCCTTGCGCGCGCTTCACGAGGCGGGATTTGACCAACTAACCATCTGCGGGCACTCGCTTGGCGGTGGCGTCGCCGCGCTGCTCGCCACCATGCTCATCGACGAGCTGCCGCACGCAACGGCGATTGGGTTTGCCGTCCCCGCCTGCGCGACCCGCGCCCTTGCGGACAATTGCAGCCGCTACGTGCGCTCGGTCGTCTTGCGCGACGACATCATTCCGCGCACAACGGTCGGCGCGATCACGCAGCTCGTCGCCGACCTCAAAGCCGAAGAATGGCAAGCGGCAGCGACCGAAGATCTTCTGGCGCTAAAAACCCGCGCTAAAGGCATCTGGGCGCCCCGGCGACGGCCCGTGGCTCGTCCAAACGACGGCGACGCTGCGCCACCCACCAGAGGCTCCGAGACACCGACGCCGACACTTGGCGACGAAATCGACGATCCCAACGAGCTCTTTGTACCAGGACAGGTACCGACACCTCCCTCGCTCGTTGTCATGGATCCATTTTCATTGGGGATAGGTCATCCATCTCTACTACACGCACGGCGTCTACGAGGCCGCGTTCGTCGACCGCAACTGCGACGCGCTCGGAAAGATCCACGTGTTTGAGAACATGCTCAGCGACCACCTCGGCCGCAACTACCTCGCCGCCCTCCGCATCGTGCGCGACG